TGTCCTTGGCAATACAAAAGTGGAATTGGCTGTACTAAAGCAAGTACAGGGAATCTGAGAGTCAGCCTTGGCAATACTCAAGTAGAATTGGCAATACTCTAGTAAGTACAGTCCCTCCTAGACGCCCCGGACTTTCTCTAAAGAGGATCCAGCTGACCGGTTCCACTGTTCCAGGGGGGGCGTGAAAAGAGGGTCCAACATTACTCCCTTTTTGAAAAATGGTCGGTGTTTCCTCCCTTTAAGCCACAAAATTTGTGGTTTAAAGGGAGGACACACCGACCGTTTTGACATAACCGTCTCTTTCCAAGACCTGTCCAAATCACGCGGCTTGAAACACAGGCGCAGGCCGACGGTTGATGATTGTCACCCACTAAGCAACATGCAATCCACAAAGCAACGGCGTCTGGAAGTCGTTTTCCTAAGGGGTCTTCTTTGCGTGTGCCATGTTGGGAGGCGATATGAGTCAGGAAACCCCCATCTTTAGCCAGCGAATCGGGTGGGGAGGCTATATAACTGGAGGTTTGTTTAAAAGGAAAAGAAACGGAAAGTCGTCTTGTACATGTTGCGGGGTCGACTATATGCCAACCCCCCCAATCAACCTGCTGGATTAGGGGGCGGCTGTTCCCCAAAAGCTTCTTCTTTTGCGGGTCCCCGCTACGGGACCCCAACGGTTCCCAAGCACCGAAATGGATTTTTTGGATCCAGACATCAGAAATACATGACTTTCAACTGTCTGTAAGAGGTTTCTATTCAACAGCCACTTGGGCCAGGGTCAGCATGGTTCGTATGGAGATGGGAAATTTAGTGAGCCCCTCGGTGTTCGCGGGAAATTTAGTGAGTCCCCCAACGTCCCACAACCAAAATAGGCTACTGCATATTCTAAACAAGCCTCACATGTGTATTTGCCAGTCTGTCGTTGGTTCGCCCGGGAAGCAAGTGCATCCCGGTCCTCCACATCCTCCACAGTCTTGTAGGCAACGACAGCCGTGCCCTTCCTCATAATATCCTCGGCGACATCTCTTGCGAGCAACAGGCAAACTGACTCCAACAATTCGAGAACCCTCCAGACCCTTTGAGGCTCTGATGAGGATTCCGTTCACGCCGTGGAAGGACGAAATCCACTGCGCACCAGATGGAAGCTGGTTTATCTCAGTATTCATAGGATGATTCAGGGGAACTTCCAATACAACGTGCCTCAAAGGATACATCCAAAACCACTTGGTTTTGCAAGGCGGTCCTTTAAATCATCTGGTCCAAATGGATCCTTTCAGGACCCATTTGATTCTGGGTTCCCTTCAGGGTGGACATTTTCCTTCCAGCCGGCCGGTTTCCCTTTGCGTCGAAGTGACTGTGATGGCTGGCTTCGCCACTGTGGAGAAGTGCTTCTCCAGATCTTTCCAGGTGGTGTCTGCCGACAAGCCCCCGATCCTCAGACGTGAACGCCCGTGGTTTTATGAAAACAACTCTTCAAACACAGACACGTGTGCCAAAATCGGGGGACCTCCCAAAGGGTGTTTGTCTTCCTTCCGGTGTCCTTTGAACTTCAACCTAAATACTGGTCTCCAGTTTAAATGGGGAGGACCCTGCTCTCAAAATAAGCCACTACCAACCTGAATCCAAGGCCCGAATCAAAGTACTGAATGGGGACATTGTTCCATTGAACAGAATGCCTAAAAGCTCTGGCTGTCCTTGCGGCTTCTCTTTAAACAATACCCAGAAGGGAGCCTTCGAACAATCACACCCCCAGACTTACGGGTCCCACAATAGCGCTACAGTTGCCTGTAGATAGGGCCCTCAGCTCTCGACACTCGTTGTCTCATTTTCGCGCAATGCACGAAGCTCAATGCAGCAAAGACGCCATACCTGCCAGCGGACAGAGCCAGTCAAAACCCCCCTAAAGCCAAGGAGAATGCCAAGAAAACACCTTGGGAGATGGATCCATCGCACCCAAGGACGCGTATGTGGTTTGGGTTGTGACCATTCCGCAATAAACACTTTACCTTTCGGGAAGGTCTTGAATGGAGCTTGCCAAAACAACACACTTACTCTTTTCCGTGCCTTCAGCGTTGGGTCGGTGTTTCTCAGCTTCTCCTCGAACTTTGACGGCTGCCTCCAAGGAGGCGACTGGGCTTTTGTGTCCGACTGGCTGACTGGTTTGCCGATCGTGGGGGTACGTCCGAAATCCCTCTCAACTCTCCAAAGGCGCGCGGCTCCATGCTACGTGTGCCATGGCCAAAACTCCGGTGGGTCATGTCTGAAATCCATGTCTAGAGGCACGCAAAGGGGGCGCATGACAATGGCACACATGCTGAACTCCGATGCCGGTCTGCAGGCAAGTGGCTTCTTCTGCGGTGCTCCCTTCTGTTGCCCCTTCCCTTGTCCTCAGAGTGAACATTGCGCTTCCCTTGCAAGACTGTCACATGTTTGCAAACGCAAGTTCTGGACACAAATTAGCAATGCCTGGGTGAGAACCGCAACCACTGTGAACCAAAGGCTTTCCCAATTACCGATACTGCCGATACTTCACAAGAAGAAGTGTCCCTTGTACAGGACTAAGAGCCACCCCTCATGCCGACCCCCGCGACGCAAATAAAAAATGCGGCAAAGTCGCTGGATGGCTGCCGCGCCAGCGCTGTGTTGAGAGCTTGGCCACTCGGCACGAACACCCACTGTCCCTTCCTTAGGTCTTAACGGATGAGTTCCATTCAGTCCCGAAAAATTCCGATTCCGATGGATCGAGGTTGGGATTCCTCTGACTTGTCTCCACATTAACTTAGGCGCAAGATTCAGCCATAGTTTTCCTGGAGGCCCAATTGATACAAAAGGGTGCCCGAAAAAATTCGGACGAACCGTTGAGACGAACTGTCCACGGGACCAGCTTTGGTTCCCCGAAGCTCGTAGGATGCCGCCCGACATATGGCTGACTTCAATCCGAAGGCTCACATCGGGGGCCAGCATTTCAATCCAGCTCGTGGCTGATTTCAACGCGCACATAGGGGGCCAGACCAAAAAGAACCAAGCCAAGAGAAGGTCCCCGTGATTTGGCAGGGTCGTAACTTGTTCGGATGAAAGAAGCAAAGGAACAGAGGTTCGAGTTCCCATGGGTCCGGCGAAGGAAACAATACGTGGCTTTCCCCGACCAGCCCGACCAGCCAACTTTCAGGAGTCGAAGCGTCGAAGCTTTCAAATGGCGCCAACGAGGCTTGTTCCGGTCGTTGCTTTTGCGCGTCGGTTGACATGTTCCGCTGGTCTTTGTGGGAGATACTCTTGACCCTCCAGTCATTATTCATAGGGTCCACCAATGGCATTTGATTTTGGCAAGTGACCCCCCATGTCCCAGTGGTAATCTGATGTCATCCCATTTACTATACGAAACGAGCGTAATTGATTGATCGTTGCTCATATGAGCACCGGTCAAAATTCATAGGAAGGTTGGCAATAGCTCAAGTGAAGGGACCCCACTCACCGCTCGTAGGAAACGCTTGTAAAAATGAACTGCCCAAAGGATGTCTTCATTCCACTGGGTCTCACTTCTTGAGTGGGTTGGCCAAAAAAAGTGCAAACCACTTATTTACCACCAAAACAAGACCCACCAAGGGGTGCAGGATCCTTAAACAAAAGGTTTTCAGAGACCCCACCCCCAGGACCAAACCCAAAAAGTGCGAAACTCCGAAACGGAACTCGGGTTGCAGCTTCAGAGTCCCGGTAGTGGGCGCCGCTGCCTTGATCACGCGTCTCACTGGCATGACCTGAGACTGGACTCGCGGACTCATGGCTCTCTTGGCTGACGTTGGGTTTGGGGAGTTATTTTTTTTGAACTTGACCAGTTCAGTGAGATTTTCAACCACTCAACCACAATAAGCCGAAATGAAAAAATGTTTGCAAACAACAACCATGTCTAGCAAATTTGGGGGTGTCCAAACGAAGCAGCCAGTGTTTTGCATGGTGTTACAGGCAAACCAAAAGGACTCCCCCCCCCCCCCCATTTTGTCGGGGTCCCATATCCCAGACGGGAAAGCGGCGAGCAGAAAATGGCAGGGGTCCTTGCTGCTGGTATTGTCCCGAATGCCCCAAATCCCATTTGAGAAAACACCCAAATAGCCAGGGTCCCGAAAAAGGGGAACACCCAAAGAGCACGTTGCAAATCCAAGAATGCCAACTTAAAACCCATCGAAAGGAGAACCATGCCATTCCCATTTGCTGTCACACAAATCCATGGAAGGACTACTCTGACTAGTCTGATCCTCCGAATTCTGGGCAAATTGCTTACAATTCGCAGACTGGAAATCTACGGAACCGCGTAAGGAATCTCTGGAATCTCCCGAGCTTGTTTCGGGCCCCGATGGACGAGCGGCCTTTCTGGGAGCTTGCCTTGCCCCTTTGGTCGACGGCTTGCCCATGGCTTCCAACCAGGCGAAAGCGGAGAGGCGTCTTCTCGAGCCCGTAAAAATCCTTCTCAGGCCTTGTCGGGCATGCGCCCCCCCCCCAAAAAAAAAAAAAGAGTCTGTGTCAAGGAGAATCAAGAGAATCAATGAACATCCATGGGGAGGCTTCCTATTTCTAGGCGCACCCAAAGGCGAGCGCTCAAAACCTCAACGTTGGCCAATTCGGTGAGGTTCGTCTCCCGGCTTTTGTGCCAATCACGCGGCCCAATATGAGGCATTGGGCCCATGGTAGCAATGGTTCTGACAGAGTTGACGGGTAAGAGGGCAACATGGAAACCATTGCTTAAATGGAACCTATGGCCGAGAAACGTGGATTAGTCTGGTGCCTGGGCAGCTCCCAGCCATACGGTGCCTTTGACTCTTAGACGATCGTAACTTCGGGGGATTCATGCCACTCACCCAGTGGCAATTTGCAAGGCAAACTGGCGATTCGCCATGGATCCTATGAAACTGGATCGGAGAACCTATGGTACTATGGGAAGTATCCCATTCCGCCTGGTTGCTTAGACAGGAAAACCAGAAGATGTACCCCGCATGGCACTAGGGGAAGTGGTCCTTGCGATGAGCTTCTCCACCAAGTTCTGGTCCCGAGACCTGGCGACGGTGAGTCGGGCGACTGCCCTCGGAGCATACCCTTCCCTGATTGCGTCAAAAGGAAAGACGAGGGGACCCGGCTTTTCGGGACACTTACTCCGGTGGTTTCCCCTTGGTGGTTTTCCCTTCAAGGAGAAACATGGAGAAACCAAGCAGGAGAATCCGCACTTGTATGACACTCACAACATGTGCTTCGTTCTCACTTGGTCCTGACCCCCTTCCGTTGGTGGAAACTAACTAAATAATGTGTACTATTCTAGGGTTCCCTACGACTCCTAAAGCTTGGGCAAGAGTTCCCCCAATGAAGCTTCTTTTTTGAACATCCCAAAACACTTTACAGCCCAAAGCCCCTGTTTGCTTCGGACGCTCGCGGCAGTTTTCCCCTTCGATCAGTTTCTTCAAGACACACCGTAAAGCTCCCAGGGCAGCCCAACACTCACAAGAAAGGTCAAGAGATCGATTCCCCTCCCTCCCCCCCCCAAAAAAAAAAAAACACAAAAACAAAAGAACACAACTGGCAGTCTTCCTCATGGCTTCCAACTGAACCCAACCTTTAAAAAGGTGAACATCGACTCCAAGTTGGCTCCGCTTTTTGGCGCGGACGCCAACAGCGACCGCCTCGGCAGCTGCTCCCAGAAGCTCCGCACCGCCGCGGGCGCCAGGCGCAGCGCCAGCAGCAGCCTATTCCCCACGTCCCCCAAAGGGCCCCAAAAGGGCCCCAAGGGATTTCCATGGGGAAAAAAACGGGCATCCCAAAAAATAAAGGGGAAGCTTCTCCCCAAACAAAAGGGCCTCCCGCCTTTTTTCCGTTAGAAGCAACTTCATGGAAAGCAAACCTCAAGTGGGCCATCCCTACTGTGGACGAAATCCGTTCGCACCACTTGGAACTCATAAAAGAAACCGTTGTTTGTTGGCAGTTACAGGGGAATCATCGTTTCAGGGTTTGCTAGGTGGTGCAGGACTTCCTCCATCCACAGTTGACTCACCACTTTAAAGGTTTAAAGGGCTCCCCTGATATCACGGAAACTCTGCCCCCCCCCCAAGACCAAAAACAGCCATCAGTTCCTTTTTCGCGCCATTTCTGGTGGTGTTTAAAGCCAAACCAAAACGGACACTTCCAGGGCCTTGGGGTTTGTGAATTGCCCGGCATAAAGAATCAGTCAGATCGCTTTACAAGGCTGACTTGAAGAACGGACGGGGTCGCTGTGATGCGTAACCCCTTTGTGCATGATCATCCCAACCTAGAGGAAAGGGAAAAATGGAAAAACACAAAAACAAAATCACTGCTTCAAGGGGCGACTAAGTGGATAGCAACCATGCTTCCCCACCAAGGTTGTGGTTGCAAGTTTATCAGCACGGCAACCATTGGAGAAACCCCCAAGCCCACACCCTAAAGGGAAGCTCACAAATAAGTTGAGTCGAACGCGATGGACTAGCCGGGGCCCGCGGGCAAAGCACAGGTTTTTCAAGGACCTACCCCTTAGCAGCCAACTTTTGGGTTCCGGAAAAGGACGTATATATACGCCTTGGACAAGCAGGAGCTTGTCCACACGCGAATATGTGAAATGGGCCCTTGTCAATGGGCCCATCGCCCATTTCAAGGGGCATTCAAGGGGTCACAAAGTGAAACGCCCCAAGTCGGTCCAAAAAGAACTTTGGGATCGGGGCCAGACAAAGGGCACAAGAAAGGGCGCCCCCTTTCACTCAACTTGAACACCGAACGTTACGAGGGGAACTCACGTATCTGTGTGGACCTTTCAAAGCGCCCTTCTTGACCTTTCAACAAAACTAGCATCCCACGTAAGCCCGGGCCCCAGACCTTGGACCGAATCGATCGAAGGGCTAGAACTTTGGCGGCTAGGCAGCGGTTTCTTGTGGAGCCAAAGGACACCGCCAAAGGTGGTCTGCCCGAACGAGTGTTGACCATCTTTTACTTGGCTGCTGTTGACCCCCTGCAAAAAGTTAAACAACTGTTTGGGGTTTAGTGGAAAACACCTTTAGTTTCCGAAAAGTTAAAGTCTAAAGATGTAACCCAATAGCAATCAAGTTTAGGAACAGCCAAGGACCACCTCCCGAACCAAAGCAACTCAGCTCCGTCCCAACTCTCACAAGCCAGAGGCACGTACGCGCAGCCAGAGGTATCAAATCGTAGCTCGCCACAGGCTCCTTCCACTTTCAATTACAGCGATCGAGCGGCGAAGAACCCAAAGCCACGGTTGTATGTCCCCTATGTTCTACTCAGAGGAGCCCGCCTATCGTGTTTCCTTGCCAAACGTTTAGCCACCCCTGATTTGTGTGATCCTCCTGACAAATCGGAAGTTAAGTTTAAGTGGGATCTAACCATGTTCAAGCACAAAGCGTCAAAACCAAAAGGAAACTGGTTGGCTGCCTACTATATAGGTAACTTACATCCGCTGCAAAGGGGAAACCACCATGTACAAAGAGGGAAACGTAAGTGCTAATCTGCAATAATGATAGCCTTTGGGAGCCCCAATGCCCAGTCCCTTCCCTCTCAAGTACACCACCCATCTGGCATACAAATCTTGTCTAGGGTTCTGTTGGAGATCTAGGGTTCCTGGAGAGACGCGCTCAAATTTCTTGTGGCCATGTGCTCCAATTGCCAACAACAACCCTGTCGATCCTTGAGAGCCTCGGCCAGCAAAGCCTCAGGCGAAGGAGGCATTCCCAGTGAGCGGCTCCCCAAAACGGGAAGCTTCCTTTCAGAGTCCCTATGCAAGAGGGGAGAGCCTTTGGTTTCTTTGTTCAGAGGTTGCATATGGGCATTGCTCTTTGCTGACCGGCCTTTTTGACCATTTGAGACGATAGTCTTCCTTAAACCTCCTGCCTTTCATGGAAAGAGGCGCCCCTGCAACTGAAGATCGAACCAACGAAACGAAGCTTGGAGCGTTCCGTGGGATAGGACCCTGTTCGAGGAGCAATTCACGCGGTGCCCAACCAGAAACAGCTGAACCAACACAACACAGCGGGGTCCAAAACAATGGGAGCCCATCTTGAGACCAGTTTCGGCGACCATGTTCTTCGAAGGGAACGCTCAAAAGGATCGACTGACTGCCAACCTGTCAAGCTGAATTGTTCAGGGATTGGATCCTACTTTACGGTTTCCGCCGGTTTCCATGTTCATGCGGAGACTTTCAAGTCCCAGGCAACGAGTCAGGGACTAGGTGGCTCTGGCGGATGGGCTTAGCGTTTCTGCAAGAACTGAATGGTTCCCTTGATTTCCACGTGTTCTTGGCCACACACCCAAAAAAGCTGCTGCCTTTTCGGCACCCTCCCTGCTTCAACTGGAAGTCATGCAACCTGTCTCAAATCTACAACTTACAGTAGCTGTTTTCATGGGAGTTGCACACTTTCGGACCCATTGGAAGACGATTCCCTTTCCCGTGTTCAAACGCGTCCAGGCCCTAGAGATATGGTGGACTGTGTGGTGGTGTACCTAAATGTTGCCAGTGCACCCAGCGCATCCCACAGCAAACCGCTTCATACTTGGGGCACTGCATAGCTTGAAATGTTGGTGACACCCCTTGAATATCCAGGCTTGTCTCCTCTCTCTTTTCAGCAAACCCAGAAAGGTTACCCTGGCAAAACACACACAGAACTTCCTGGTGCTCAGTAGGGAATGACCCAGGGTGTTGGGAGTACACCTAGAGATTCGTTTTTGGAAAGGACACCACAAGGGCTGGTTTTAGGAGGATCATTCCCTCATTCCCTGCTGAGAACCAGCAAGGTAAAGACTGGCTGCGACACGATTTGAATGGCGTCAACATCTGGCCATCTTGCCCAAGGGACCTGGCAAAACCAGTTGACCAGGTCTGCTTTGTATACACACATTCTGCAACCATAAGGGGTTGCCTGTCTGATAGTCTAAACATCGGTATGTTTCAAAGCTCCCTCAAAGCAAGAAGCTTCCTTTGAAGCAAATGTTGGTTCGGGGTTTCCCTTTAAGGGCACCATGATGCCGGGGAAACGCGGGGACAGCGTTTTCCCCCGCCTCTGACGCGTCCGTGTCGTCCCGCGTGAAGCCGGCGAGACGGCTGGAGGTGAGGATGTGGCAAAGGAGCCGAAGCAAGGGCCTCAGCCCAAAATGCAGCACACACCAGATATAGGGGTGAAAGGTCCTTTGCATGGGGCGACCCTTAGGGAACCCACCAAAACAAATGACTTTCCACCACATGGGAAATGGTGGAATACCTTTGGGTTCCATTTAAAGCCACTCCAAAAGAAGGGTACCCTCAAAAAAAGGACATTCACAAGCCAGGATACTGCTTGTGCTGAAGACCTTGTTGGGGGAAGGCCAACGGTTTGTCAATCAAACAACCATGCAAAGAGGGCCCCTCCCCAAATAATGAAACAGCACCCATGCAGGATTCTGTTTAGGGGATTAAACTCTGACAAATACAAATTGCTTGTAAAATCTGGAGAAAAAAACACGTAAGGGCTTAAAAACTCAAAATTTTAGTGGCACAACGTGTCAAACTCTTAATAGCTTAAAGTCCCAACATCTCAACACCTTAGTCGCTTCACGTGTCAAAAGCTCAATGGCTAAAAATACTTCAAGGAAATACTGGCTGAACACATGAACACCTAAATGGAGTAAACTCTAAAAACATGATTGGCTTGCAATCTGAGGGTCAAATGAAAACCAAAAGTCTTAATGGCCTAATCTGAAAAAGCTTAAGGGCTTAACATCTGCACATCTTAATGGCTTGAACTAGTAACAGCTTGATGACTTCAAACCTTAGAATCTTTCTGGAGCGATATGCATTATTAAGGTCTTAGTGGCTTAACGTGTTAAAATATTAATGGCTTAAAAAACATCTTAATGGCTTGCATCTTAAGGGCTTTAAATATGGCTTAAAATCTGGCTGGCTCAAGATCTAACATTGGAATGGCTGAAAAATCTTGAACACTTAGTGGCTCAGCGTGATAAAATTCGAATGGTTTGAAATCCAAAATCTTGATGGCTGAAAACCTAAAAACCTAAATGGAGCTTTTAATCTTAAAAGATGACTGTCTTATCGTGTTAGCATCGTATGGCTTCAAGCCCATAAATAGTAATGGCTGACAATCTTGAAATCTTAATGGCTTCAAACCTTGGAATCTTAGTGAATGTATTAATCGTCATGGCCTTTTTAGTCCTAACATCTCAAGGGTTAAAAATATTTAAACCTTACGGGCTTCAAATCTTGGAATCGCCATGGCTTAAATATTAAAGTACTAATGGCTGAAAACCTGAATATTATGTTTTGTTGCTGACCTGAGCCGGAGGCGTTAAAGTACCAATAAAAAATGGTTTCCCATGGTTTCCAAGCGGTGCAGGAATTCGTCCACAGTATGCGTAAGCCAGACATGGCTTAAACTGGGGGCAACCGAACCCCTCTGCCGCCGGCGCACTGTAGCGGCGTTGCCCAGTGGCTGGGAGGTGCGACCTACGCGGACTGGCAACGCGCGGCGCTTTAAAATGGAAACCAAGGGGTCTGTGCTGTTTTTTTCGGGACTGACCCCGCCAAAAAAACACACACACACACACACACACAAACTGTGGCTTTCGAACCCCCCCAAAAAACAACAAACAAACTGTGGCTTTCGAACCCCCACAAAAAACAACACTAAACACTGTGGCTTTCCTCTAAACACACAAAAACACGAGAACCCTCGAACATCACACAGATCCAGATGTGAGACCAGCAGGTCTGCTTTGCTTTTTCTTAAAGGGCGGAATCAATCCCAGGGGAGGCCGTGAAACCGGAGCGAAAACCGATTCCTGTCTTGGATTCAGAGCCACAAGCCACGGAAACGCAGGCCATGCCAAAGATTTGCTCTCATCCCCTGGCCCGAACTTTCAAAATGGCCATGCAAGAGGCCAACCAAGTCCGGCTCACGGTAAACAAAAAGTGAGGAATTGAAAGGCTCGCGATCTTAGTGGACATGTCCAGCAGAATATCCCCGGATTTCCCCAAGAATCATTTCACCAGGGCATTCCTCTGACTGGTAGCTTGCAGGTTCCGAAGCAAGAGATGGCAAAACTCGGCAAAATGCAGTAAAAAGGGTAAGCCTTGGTCTGGCCATGAGAAGTCGGCAATGAAAACGGGCGCCCCATTCCGGACAAAATCATAGGTGCCTGTGCGTGTGGGTTTTTGGATTCACAAAGAAACCAACCTACTTTGGAAGTTCCCCTATGTTGTCGATCCTCTACTAGTTGAAACATAGGTGTCCTTATTCTGTTGATCCTTTGTGGAGACAAGCTCAGATACCTCGCGCTCCCAGGCCCCCGGACATTGGCGGGGAAGTCCGACTTCCCCGTCCCGTGCACCAGCTGATCTGGGCTCAGCCTCGCGCGGATGGAGGAAGTCTGCTTGGTAAGGGAAATACGTAGGTGTTTCTCAACATAGTTTCAGCATAGAACTGTTGGTGTCCTTTTGCTTTCACGGGATCCACCATTTTGAGAAGCTCCCGAGTACTCTGTCACTTCTCAAGGCAACGTCCATGGAACTTGAGTGTCTGCTAAACTTGAAGGGGCGCATGCCAGGCAAGTGGTAGTAGCCACGGTTTATATATGTCATCAAAGGAAGTTTAGTTGAAAAACTTCCGTAATACGAAAAGTGTAGTTCGCAACGCAGAACAACCCGAAGGGTGCCTCCGTTTTGCGCACGGGTTCGCCACGGTTGGCCACGACTTCGCCACGGGTTCGCCACGGTCTCGAAAAGTTGCCCAATGACACGCTCGCACAGACAATTTGGGAGGTTCAAATTTCGTGGCAGGCGCAGCACTTTTGTATCCTGAAGTGCAGATTTCGTGGCACGCACAGTACTTTCGCAGCCGTGCAGATTTACTGGCAGGCGCAGTACTTTCACACTCTGAGGCACTAATTTGCTGGCAGGGACAGTACTTTGGCAGTCTAGATAGATGGATAGATGGATAGATGGATAGATAACTAAATAGATATATAGATAGGTAGTTTAAATTTTGTGGCAGGCGCAGTACTTTCGCAACCTGGGGTACAGATTTGCTGGCAGGGGCAGTACTTTCGCAGCCGTGCAGATGTACTTGCAGGCACAGTGTTTTCGCGCTCGGGGGTGCAGATTTGCTGGCAGGGGCAATACTTTGGCACTCTCGCAGCTAGCGCTCGAAAATCGCAACTTTTAAATACGAAAGTAGCACAGCAGAAGAGAAAAGAGAAAAACAAAAGAAGAGAGAAGAAAGAAGAGAGAAGAAAGAAGAGAAGAGAAGAAAAAAGCGAAGAGAGGAAAGAAGAAGAAAGAACAAGAAGAAAGAGGAAAGAGAAAAGAGGAAGGAGGAAAGAAGAAAGAGGAAAGAGAAAAGAGGAAAGAGGAAAGAGGAAAGAGGAAAGAGGAAAGAGGAAAGAGGAAAGAGGAAAGAGGAAAGAGGAAAGAGGAAAAAGGAAAAAGGAAAGAAGAAGAAGGAAGAAGGAAGAAGGAAGAAGGAAGAAGGAAGAAGGAAGAAGGAAGAAGGAAGAAGGAAGAAGGAAGAAAGAAGCAAGTCGGAGGAAGAAAGAAGAAAAGAGAAGAGAAGAAAGAAGCAATCAAGGAAAGGACCAAAAGAAGAGATCGTATTGCCCCCGGCTTCGCAAGCTTTAGTGGTATGATCCCTTACTTGGGTACCAACCTATAGAGGCTATATAAGGGGCACATAAGGCGTATGGGTGTACAAGGGGTACATTGGAGCACATACAAAAAAGAAACCACGATGATTGCTGCCACAGAAACAAGAATCCGTACAATTTTTATGGCTGTGGGTCAAAACCCAGGAAACCCCTGGTGAACATCAAAATAGGTGGCAAATGGATGTTCATCCACCCCAAAATGCAGCCATAGGTTCTGCCCCATGGCCATATCTCTGCCCATGCAAACCCCTTGGGTCAATGGGCTTGGATCCGTTCGGTCCCGAATCTGAGGCCAGAACTGCACCAAGGTGGCGAGGAGGGATGCAGGGCTGGCCTCTTCCTGTCTCGAAATGGACGGCTGGATCGCATTTTCTAGAACACGGCTTGGCTGCGGCGAATCTGTGGATCCACCCCTGTAGAATATAAAAAGAGTACTGAGTACCATAAGAGATAACAAAACAAAAAGGCCAAGAAGGGGAAGAACAGGTGAAGTCCACAAAAAGCGCATCCAAGCCATGTGTCCTTTTTTTGGGGCGACCCCCCCCAAAATATAATAATAATAATAAATAAATAATAATAAAAACACTAATAACAATAATAACAATAATGATAATAATCGTGGTGGTGTCCCTTTTAAAATCTCGTTAAAACACCAACAACAAGGGTACCCCCCCCCCCCCCCCAAGAGGAAAAAAACACACACACACACACACTCGTTTAATTTCGGCTTTCCTCTAGTTGGTGGATTGGTTTGGTGGTGTGGCTTGGTGTTCCGGGATTAGGAAAATCCCATTTACCCTCAAGAACTAGGGGCTCGAATCCCCAGTTCCCACCAAATCCAAACCACCAACTCTTCACAAGTAACTTGGACCAAGAGCCATCTGGTCGCAGGCTATGCCTCACTCGATCAAAACCAGTTGGACAATTCCAACCACAAAGGGTGGCAACTGACAAGAAAGTCCCAGGCCCCCCAAATCGATGACCTTCCGGCACCTTGGCACCCTGTACACTCCCGATGCACCTGGAACCCGAAATCCTGAAATCCCATCATCCGTTTCTAGAGGAATCTCCTTGTCGTGGACCTGCCATTTGGGTTCCATACCGTATCAAAATTTGTAGGGGAGCATTTTCGCTTTTTGAAGGGGACACCGTGGCAGCTTCCCCTTTTTGAGCAACCCCAATGTCACCTCTGCAATGCACCCACCCGCCTTCTCCCCCTTGCCACCTGGCAGCTGCAGAGTCGCAGTTGCAACATGTCCTGAAGAGTTGACTCTCCTCATCATCTTGAACCATCGCTCCTTCAAACACCGTGGTGAATGGCTTTCTGGAAACATTCGGACATGCAAAGAATGGGAAGTTATCACTTGAAAGGCGCATTCAGATTGCAGACGCAAACGCCAAACGCCCCCGCGGAGCGAGCCGGCGCACCTCTGTCGCCCTGGCAGGCCGAGAGCAAAGCTGCACAAGGGCACCCAAAACGTCTTCTTCACGCTAACAGGGGCAAGGGTTGTAACCCACTCGCCGTGGTAGCCGGCGTCAGGCAAAGGAAACCCGGGGGTCGAAACCAATATATGTTCACAGCCGTCATTTCTGATCCGCAAGACAAACAAAAGGCTCGGGGCTCCGCAAATGAAGCGCGCCTGCAGGCCGCGGTCGATGCCTGCCGGCGGGGAAAACATGGCACGCTCCCACTCCTCTCCAACCCGGGATGTTTTTACCAAAGCAGAACAGTTTAACACATGCTTCCCCAAGAAAAGCTGGGAAAGCTGAGGCCCCCTGGTTTTGTGGGAACTTTCAGTGGACCCTCATGTTCTCTCCAAACTAACAACAATCATATTCTTGTCAGACAGGGCTGACAGCGGACATGGTGCCCCTCCTGACAGCAGCGTCTCCCATGATGCAATGGCTGCCACGCACTGCCGCTCGCACTCTGGTGGCCTTAGGTAACATGCATGGGCAAACTACAAACCTGCACTGGAAGCATGCCTATGCAATGCCGCCTCTGTGCACAACATGTGGAAAGGTGCCTATGCGAGCCTACTTCATCAAAACGCGCCTACGCAAGCGCCTACGCGCGCATTTTCGCGAGCTACTTTGGACGGCGCGGGCCTGCCTACTCGAACGGATCTTGTTGGGCCACGGTCAAACAACTGATCTTCCTCATCCAAGGGCTAGGTGGGCGCTGCAAGACATGCTCTCGAAAGGTTGCGCTTCACAAATTGCTGGTGCTCAGTAGGGAATGCGGGAATGAACCCGATTCCCTTAAAGGAAACCACCAGCTGGATGGTTTATAAGGGTCATTCCCTTTCTCATTCCCTACCTATCGCACCAGCAAGACGAATTGCCTACTTCCCACAACAGACGTGGAAAAGCCGGGGCCCAGCCCTGTAGCTTGGGTTGATTTGTTTTGGTGTCTCCCACTTCCCGTGTTCTCTTTGAACAGTGGACTAGTAACTAGCAACTGATTCTAACAACAGAGAAATCCAACACTCGCCGTGGTTTCTTGGAGGTTCCTGGACTGGAGATTTCAGGAAGGGGCGCTCACATGACATGATGTTGTTGGCTCGCACCGAGGCCGCTGCAAGCGCTCGTGATCGCCCTGCGACATCCAGACCAAGTTTCTGCCTCGCGAGCCTGGACTGGCTGCAACGCGCGGACTCGCAGCAACCACCGAGCTCCTCCGAATTACACGCTTTGGTAGGCGATGATCTTCATTCACATGTGGGGGCTGATCAAAAGATTCGTGACATGGGATGACCGGGACTGAAACCACCAAACAAGATTTGACTTTCACCACATGGGAACAGTTGTTTATGGTTAATTTGGGGCCAGGAATATTGACAAGCCCCATGTGGCAACTGTTCCTTTCATTGTGGATTGACATCATACCCTAAAAAAAGTGGGTACTTGGAGCAGGAGGCATGCAAGGGGTTGACAAAACGGCTTTTGTGTCACCTTTCGACGGGGCTCTGAAAGAGGCCCACGGCTGTCAAAATATGGTCCTCCACTGGACTGGGCATGGGAGAATTGCGTGATATAAAGGACCCGTGACCCGACCACCCCTAAATCAAGGCCCCAAAGTAAGCTTCAAGGCCGAACCATGGTTTCCAGGGTCCCCAAATAGCCCGTTGCCTGAGTTTCAGTGGTCTATATGGAGGGTCGGCCAAGGCTCCCCCCCCGAAACATCGCCCCAAAAGAGGCCCGGCCAAAATGGTGTGTAGACCCAGGAAAGATTTGGGGCTCCTCAAAAAACACGGCCCCAAAGCCCTAAAGAGAAGTATCCAAGGGGCTGCAGGATGGTGTGGATCCCGCATCTTCAGGCGCCAGAGCACCTTACGCGCCGCAGTCTCTCAGACTTCAAGTGAAAATGGTGGAAAGGCCCCCCTTTTATGTGGCATTCAAAGGGAAACCAAAAGGAAACCCAACCATTTTAGCACCCTCATTTGGAGGAACATCCCTAGATCCCCTTGGAACATCAGCCAAATCAACATGGGACTAAAAGTGATGGTTGCATCACCCACGGGAAACCTTCGCTTGAGTCGCCTGGAAATATGTGAGGGGGTTCAACCAGCTGATCTGGCAAGGGGCAGTAGTGACCTTCTCTCATGCGACTGCCATAGCCACGGCCGCCAGGTTCGTCTCCTTGGCTCAAGTTTCAAGCAAGCTCTGAAAGATTCAAGCTCCCACAGTGCAATACACACCTCTACATTAACGGCTATAACCCGCCTACCATGATTGTGACTCCCAAAAGTGGGATATGTTGAGCAAAACCCGTTGACTGTTGGTTCCAACCTAGGCAGGAAGCGAACCGCCCCAAACTTTCCCGCTTGGGGATTTGGGCGTTCATTTGTGTTTGATTTTGGAGGGTACCTCTTTCAGGTTGGTTTACAGGGAAGCCAAAAGGAAAACCACCCGTCCGCCATATTTTTTGGAGACATGGGTATGGGTCTAAGTCAAACCACCAGGGGTTCCCAAAAATAACAACAACCCATCTTGGGGGTACCCCCATTTTTGACCCACACCCACATCATGTTGACCCCATAGTGATAAACCCCTGTATAAATAGGGGGTGTTCCCTCCAAAAGTGATGATTCCGCACTCAACGCAGGGACGCCCCCTGCTATGAACCAAAAAAGGGGTCGATGCATATGGGGTCATTTTTGATCCAGGTGCAGTGCTCTAAAGTGCTCCCTTGGTTGCTGTTGACCCCCCTGCAAAAAGTTGTTCACTTTTTTGGGGTTCAGTGGAAGACCCCCTGATTTCAACCAAAAAGTTAAAGTCTAAAGATCCACCCCACTAGCAGTCAAGAAGTGAGCACGTGAGTGTCACCTTTGACCCAGGTACCGAGTCCCAAGTGCTCCAAGGCTCCTTCTTCCCAGGAGGCCAACGTGCTGAGCGCCTCCCCCGCGGACCACACCGTGTGGGTCATCTCCTGCCCCAGCACCGCCTTCAGCACGCAGAAGGACACGTCCCCCGCCGACGCCGCGCCGGCGCCGCTCTCGCCTGGGAAAAATCCGAAGACGGAAAGGACAAATATTTTTTCTGGGATGCCCTCTTTCTGTTTTTTCTTTCTAGGCATATGGAGACTTCCGTGCCAGAAACCACGGCCAGGTTGCCAAGGATATTGCGGGATTGGAGGCGGCTGTTGTCAGATCCCCCGCGAAAAGTTTAACTTTTGGTGGGTTAAATGGAACTACCACTAAACGCTCTAAAACGCTAAACGGCGAAGGAACCGGATGGCTGGGAGCCACCGAGTTTTGAGGACCCTCCTTGGGGTTCTCAAAGCACATGCCGCGCCCAACAGGTGTTTATGTAGCCGAATCCGGGCCACTCTACTGCCTGAGAAGGTGCGATGGACAGTGGTTGAAATGGAATCCACTTCTGTGATACAGAAAAAGGATTCCGCGAAGACGTTCAACCCCCAACAAGGAGATTCCCGAAGATATCACAGAAGTGGCTGGACAAACCCCTGGATCCCACAACCCTGGTTCAAACTGAAAAGGAGCCCTGGAAAAATGAAGAACCGACAAAAACGAAGGGGAAAAGACATAATGTTGAACCCGTATTAGTAAACCCTCCCCTATTAAACCGGTCCGGGTGACCCCCCCCCAATACTAAACAATGCGTAACTCAGAAAATACCCCCCAAATAAAAAAATATATCTAAAAAGCCCTCCCCACTTAAACCGGTCCCTCCCCCAGATGGCTGCTGCTATCTCATTTTCTCCACTGCTGCCTGAGCTCATTACAATGCAAACTGTTTTTTGGTGCTAGCTGATGCTGATGTTGAATATTGTGGACTCATGCTGCTTGCCATGTTTTTTGAATGGTCCTGAAAAGGTGCTTTGGCTCAAATGAGCTCATGCTTTCTTTTGATACCTTTCGCTTCATGCTTGCTCTCATCGTGAAGCTTGGTGGATGCTTTTGGGCCTGCCCAAACCACAAAACAAAAAGTGTTCTGAGATGATCGATTTCTTATTAAATCCTTTACCAAAAAAGCAAGTTTAGAAGGTTTCAAAGGATACCCCCAGGCCCCTTACACCCCCAATTAATAACCCCCCCTAATTAGTGCGGTCCATCGGCCCCACCCCCCAAAAAAAAGACAACCAGGCCTTCTCAATGGAAACTCAATTCCAGATCTGAAAAGGAAACTCCAGCAATACTAAATCAAATGGAAACTCAATTCCAGATCTCAATAAGGAAGCTGCAGCAATACAAAATCGACTGGAAACTCAATTCCAGATCTCAAAAGGAAGCTCCAGCAATACTAAATCAACTGGAAACTCAAATCCAGATCTCAAAAGGAAGCTCCAGCAACACAAGATTAACTGGAAACTCAATTCCAGATCTCAAAAGGAAGCTCCAGCAATACTAAATCAACTGGAAACTCAATTCCAGATCTCAAAAGGAAGCTCCAGCAATACTAAATCAAATGGAAACTCAGCTCCAGCAATACTAACTCAAATGGAAACTAAATTCCAGATTGTTTAGGGGGGGAGCCAAAAACCCTTCAAAATCTTGCCCCCCCAAGACCTTCTGACCTTCAAGGAAAGGGGGGGGGTTACAGACTAATACGGGGTCAACATTACCAGGGTTCCACACATTTTGGAAACGCAAAGCTGGTCAAAAAGGAAACAAGGAACATTGGAAAATGGAAGACCGCACAAGTTCGCCACCAACAAATTCCCCATCACAGTTCCTCGGCACAAGTTCACCAACGAGTCGCCGGTTTTTTCAGGGACGGAACATGTGTCTTCGAACAGAGTCCAACGAAGCCATCGGGCCTTCGGAGGGCTCCTTCTCCTCGCTCTCTGCCTCCAACAAGCCCGCCAGCTTCTCCAAAGCCTCCTGAAGCGGCATGCGAAATCTCGCGGGTTTGGGGTGTCTTGTTTAAAGGGCACCCGCAAAATCGCCTGGTTTCCTTTGGCTTCTCCAAGGGAAAACCAGAAACAAAAGGCTACCCCCTCAAAACAAAGACACGGATATGTGGATAGCGCTCAAAAGAACGCTGGAAACTCGGAGTCCCTGCGCCCGGTGGCAAATGGTCCGTTGACCGAACCAATGGCAGACAACGAATGCACCCCAAAAGATGAGTCGAAAGCCGCGAACTTTTTGGGGACCCCCGGGAGACTTGGCATGAGCCACCCGTTTTAAGTCCACCTGAGTGAAAGGGGCCTTAGGGCCCCTACAAGCCACCTACCCAAAAGGTTCGAAGAGAAGCTTCTTACAGTTTCTGAAGAGGAGGGTTCTAAACAACCTTTCTGGGAAGGAGGCCCTCGTACATCATGGTGATACACATGCCGATCCCATACCACAAACGGTCTTTGAACTTGTAGTTCTGCCTGGTTTAGCGGGAAGTAGCCATGGCCAAAGTTTTTACATACCAACCCGAAGTGAGGCCTTTTGACCATGGCATAATCTTCAAAATCGTCAGCACCATCGTCAGCACCATCTTCAATCACATAAAGGTACACCAACATCAAAAATATACACCAAAGTTCATTGCATTCCAAGGTCATGTCCCTTCATCGTTATTCCAATATGATGAACATGTCCACGTTTCCGTCATGTTGAACATACAGGATATAGCTCAAGTCGCTCGGGTCAACCTGTAAAACGTGCCTGGCGGCGAATATCCTTGGCTTCCTCTTGGCCGCCCGTGGCTTTCCCTTGGAAACACACCTGAAACAACACGCGGGTTGCTCGGTTTCTGTTGGCCGACAGATGGCCCTCTTGAGCAGCGCCCAACAACCGCCGGCTTTTCATTGCGGGGAAAAGCGCGCATGCTCCTCACACTAAGCCGAAAGAAAGCGGGTAGAAGACCATTTGCTGCAGGCAACTTGCTGCGAGTAGGGAATTGAATGACCCTTCCAGGTGTTGGGAATGAACCGCAAGGGGAGAAAAGGAGACCACCAGTTGGAGAGCTCATAGGCCGCCATTTGCTCAAGTCCCCGGGGAAAAATCCAAGACTGATAGGTTCCCGGAAAAATGACAACTATGAATCTCAGCAAACGGAAGTCTGCAGCAGGGTGATTCCTTTGGACTACCCCAAGGTGGACGTAAACATGGTGGGGTGGCCTTTTTGACATGGGCTTAACCCATGGGGTGGTTGATGAGACGTCCGAGGAGCCCTTGGGCCGCTCCCTCTCGGCCCGTCTCCTGGGCCGGGCTCGGTGTCGCCTCCGCCTCCGCCTGCGGCACCCAGCTGCGGCGCTGCAGCTGCCGCGCCGCGGCGGACCGCAGCCCGGCGTCGGAGCAGTGCAGCAGCGAGGCCTGGGCCAAAGCGGCAGTCAAAAAAAAATTGGCCATGTTGGGTACCTTTGGGATGGCCATGGGTCAAAAAATATGAGGGTGTTCCCGTACCCCCAGTGAACATCCCACTCCCTATGGACTAGTGGCATAATGTTCACCCTGGATCGAGCAGAACCCCTGGTTGATTCTGATTGGGGGACACCTCCCCCCTTTTAGTGGGGGCTTTTTGTTTGACCACTTTTGGAGGGAACCCCCTCCTAACAATGGGAGGGGTTTATGAACAACCGAGTTTCAACAGACAAATGGCCATGGGTCAAAAGCCCCGTACCCCAGTGAACATCCCAATCCCCACCAAAATAGGTTCTAAAATGGGTCCTTCGTCTACCCGGGTGTTGATTGTGGCTCATATGGCGAATTGGTGGGTCCTTTCGGTTGCCCCCCACTCAAAGCACCTGAGGCCGAAAAGGGCGAGAAAAAACGACGCTCAGAAGCAAAACCTACATCATCTTGCATTCTACAAGCATCCTTTGTAAGAAGTGCTTGTAAAACCAAAAAACGGATCCAAAAAAGGTAAAAGGTTCATAAAAGTTGTTTTTGTAAGCAGCTTCTAGAATTTGTAAAAAGTTCATAACCCCCTCCCCCCCCCCAAAAAAAAAAAAGGATCAAAAAAGCTTCCTCTTTGTTGCTTTTTGCTCCATGCGAGGTCGGGAAGGCAAGTGGCCAGGTGATCCAAGGGCACAGGGCCCAGAGGCAGCAGCTCTGCGGCGGCGCAGAAGGCGTCCTCCAGACGGGGGGTCTCCAGTTCCAGCGTCGGGCCGACAGGAAACGCGAAGCCGAAAATTGGCTGTGGGTCAAAAATGGGCTAACCCCAAAATGGCTTGCCCTGGTAAATGGAACCAAGGACTAAAGCCTGCGGTCCCCGGGTGGTTAAATTTTGACCCATACCCAATTGGCAACAAGCTGATGTATGAAGTATGAAGCCGCGAAGGGGGGGGGGGATTTTGGGTACCCTCTGTCCAACCCGATGGCTTCCCCACACGTGCCAAAACAACAATTAGGCTTGGTTGGGGCTGGGGGGGGGTGGGGGGCGAAAATACGGCGAGCGGGCAAAAAGAAAGAAAGTGGCATCTGCCCCAAAAAGCGCACTCCACGGATGCGGAGTCGGATTCCTCCACAAAGGCCGACAGCTGGGCCGAGGCCAACCAGTGGTTGGCCTCGACCAAAGACTGCAGCACGCCGGGCCAGCTGCTCTCAGGCCATTGGCCGTGGCGACACAAGGCCGCCACCAGGCGCCACGTGCCCGGCATGGCCGGCAGCGGTTTTTTGGGCGCGGCCAGTGCCTGGCCACGGCAAAATGGGGTCCAGCCAAATCCAACCCCGAGAAATCCGGAGAAGACACCCGCATCAGCTCCCCTGAAATTGGTGGATTGAATTGGAGGTGCGGCGGTTTCCCACTTACCCTCAAGAACCAGGGCTTCCGTTAACCATGTGAGGTGTTACATGTCAAGCTTCACAAGCCAGAACCACACAGAGGAGAAATCCTATCCCATGCGTCGAGTTTCATCCATCCCAACTGCAGGAATTTGTCGAACATGCATTAATTGTTGGTTGCTTGGTTGCTGTTGACCCCTGCAAAAGTTTTTAGCTTTTTACAGGTTGAACTTGGAAAACGTTCGTGATTGTCGGTTGGTCCCCTTGGCCAAGGTGCGGCGGGTCCAGGCGCGGCACCCAGCATCTCCAGCGCGAGGCGTGTCATGCGCGAGGGCAGCGTGCCGCCAACGCCCGGGGAGGAGACGGAGGGCCAACAAGCCGCGGCAAAGGCCTTGGTAAATGACCCTTCCGGGTGTTGGGAATGAACCGTAAGGGGATTCCCTTAAAGGAAGCCACAAGGGATTGTTTACAGGGGTCATTCGAGTCATTCCCTGCTGAAAGCCAGCAAGATACGCCATCTTATTTAGTAGGGGGTGTCACCCACCCAAGTGAGGGATACCAGGGGGTTAGCAACTGGGGTTAAACATTCTGCGTGCGCAAAAAAGCGTAAGTGTTTGTGGGTTAGTGCAAAAATGTGCATCTCGCCCAATTCCCCCCCCCCCCCAAAAAAAAAAAAAAGAGAAAGAAAAAAGTTAAAGGTAAAATATCCAACCAAATTACCACCCGAGCGGCAGCCAAGGCATCGGCGCGGGAAGTTTCGGAAGATGCCTGCGGGACAAAAGTTGGCGATTCCCAAAGTAAGATGCAACTCGCAGAAGGAGTCACCCCAAAAGAAGTTTCCATTCAAACATGAGGCTTTGGTTCTCATGTTAGTCTGCAGGAGTGTAAACAACCACACCCGAGTCCCCAGGGGAGAACCAGCAGGAGATTGGTTTGATCCACTCCCGTTGCTTTTTTTCAGCGGTGGAATCGCGCCTGCGACCAGCGCAGCAACTTCTCGATGGTGTCCACCAGGCCCATATCCAGCTCCTCCTCATTGGGCTCGGCCATCGCCACGTCTCCTTCTGACGCTGCGGTGATCAGCGGGCCATCAGACACCGCCACCTGGCAGGTTGGGGCGAAAAAATTGGTTGATGGCTGAAGAAGGGAATCCCTGAAACGGGGGCGCTTTCCCCTTCAGGGATTCCCAATCTCCAAAGAACTATACTCAAATAATCCACTTTGCAGGGAATCCCTGAAACCGGGGTTTGTCTGGTGTTCTTTGAGTAGTTGGGTGAAGCAGCCGCACGCTTTTGGGGAGCCGCTGGTAATACAAAAAAACAGGTCTGCAAAGCAGTGCCTTTTTGAGTAGTTGGCCACATCCCCCACCCAAACATGTTGGACCCTTGTTTGTGAGAAGATCGAAAATCCCAAGAAGGACCTGAAAGGCGGGGAGTTCAACCAACTTTGTATGACCATATGGTTACAACCTACCTAGCTTGAACACCCTTCCGCACCGTTCCTGCCTGGCTTCCTTTGGGGTTGGTGTCCGCACCCGGTTTAATACTGGTACCCTGAATTCAGGACCCCTGAGCAGTGGTTTGGCTGTTCTGGGGGGGGGGCTCACGCCTCACGTTAAACAAGGTCCAAGATTGTTCCGTGTGATTTTCATCCATCGAAATCCCTTCGGCGCAGCAACGCCCACGCCTTGGCCGCCTCTTTGGCTCGCATCGGCGCCGCCTCGACGGCGCCCGCCAACGCCAAGAGCTGCTCGGTCACCGTCTTCTCCGCGCAAGCCACCCTCAGCTGACGGGGATTTGTTGCAGCCCCCATAAGAGCGTGTCTCGTTTTCAGGAAGCCACCTGTTGGTTAGGTCTTCAAGGCAAACCCAGAGAGGGAAAAAAAAAACAAGCTTCTCAAAAGCACTTCACAACCGGGTCATGCACTCCCACAGAACCAAAAAGGGGGAACAAGCTCGGTTTTCTTTTGGTTTTGGCGCGAGTTGGTCTCAAAACGCGCAACCCGAGCCTCAGCCTACCCCGGAGCTCCGACCGCGCAGCAGAGACCCAACTGCCCGGCGCGGCGCCCAACTGCACGGCGCGGCGCACCACCTGCGCCAAATCCGAGGCAGGAAGACTCACTTGCGCGGGTCTTTCCTTAAGGAATGAGTTTAGCACAGGTAGAGTTGCTTGGTTGGGGGTTGGGCGAGGGGGCTTGGGTTTCTTTAGGGTGAGTTTCCGGTTGGTTTAGGTTTGCTTAGGGCTTGCATTCGGGAATGTTTAGGGTTTAGTGATCGTTCAGCGCTGGTTTGGGGTGGGTGTATCTCAAAAATTGAGACACACTCACACTCTTCTCCTTATAACTTGCTGGTCAGTAGGAATCAGCCATTTGGGAATGCATCTATGCATTTCATCGACCACATATCCGGCATAGCTATTGTCGTTATTCATTTGTTCGGATTCCATCAAGACATGTGTTCTATTTGTTCGCTTGCATTGTCATTCCTCAGAAATCTAGTCATATTCATTCAGGCGCGACTCAAGCCTGTCAGATCAAAACCAGAGCAGGTGGCCAACAGATCAACCGAAGGACGGCGCTGGGCCAAGTTTGGCCAACCAAATATAGTCGTCAGGATGTTCCCATGGCGCTTGCCACTGTCTACCTGATCTCGAACTGATGACGGGAGAACTCTGGGCGCACAAGGGTTGCTGTTCAAACTACATCCTCCCTGCAAAAGGGGCATAAACCCTTATAAAGTGGGCTGGCGACCAAGCATGTACCAAAACGCAAACCAAAATAAAGCCAACCATTGCCACTTGAGAAACTCCCAAAAGCCGATGTTTCGCGTGATAGAACCTGTTGCGCGTAGGTGGGATTTGGCACCCAAAACCCCAGCGACGGCCAGGCGGAGCCGGCCACGGTGCGATCCCTGCCTCCGCAGCTGCGTGGCCCCAGCCTTTGGAGCTGGAGCTGTCGTCAGCTTCCAGCGCCCACTTCAGGAGCACCTGGGGGGGGGGGGGGGTGGGAGGGGGGGAGGGCCTTTTTGGCTGAACCATGGCAACAACAAAGACACCAAACACATTAAAATTCCCAAAATAAAGATTCCAAATAATAAAAGCTTGAAAATATTAACCCTTACAATCTACCTTCATGTCCATTCTAAAGTGTACAATAAATCATATTGGATGGGTTCCTTCCTCCCTTCACTCGTCAGTCACTTCTATCTCCTGTGTGATCCAAGATTCAGGAGATAGACCGTAAAGCAAAGAACCTGGCTATCTCTTTCTCTCGTCTATAAGCTATTTTCACTTCCTTCGTCTACATCATAAATCCAGGAGATGACAGTTGACAAATAATTTCACCTACAATCACTTTATCTTTTCTATTATTTATTATTTACCTTTCATATCCTTCAAGATCCTAGAGTTTACAATTAAAATGAAAAATAACCAAACACAATAAAAGAAAACTATTTATCCCTTACACACATCTGTCTCACCATCAATCTTCATATCTTCATCAAATAATCCTAGATTCATAAAGTTGACGAAGGAAAATATATCTTCATCGTGGAAGTGTTGAAAAGAGAGGAAAATGGTACCCTTTTAATTGTTTCAACTAGTTAGAACCCCCCCTTTTTAGGCTGATGTGAAGGGGGAACCCATTTTTGGGAAGGCCACTGTCTGGTCGTTCAAGTCTGCTCCCACCCCCCACCTCTGCCCCGAGCTCCTCCGCGGCCTGGCGGTCCGGCCACAGGGCAGGTAGCACGTGCCGCAGCAGCAGCAGGCCACCCAACGATGCCGTGGCGATGGGCGCATCGGGCTCCGATTCCTGGAGCGTGGCTCGGGTGTGTACCAACCGTCCGGTAAGGCAGGTCACCCTTGGCTGGTTTGGTGGTTTGGATTTGGATTTGGATTTGAAGCCCTGGCTTGGGTAGGGGGTAAATGGGAAACCACCCCGGAAGAACGCCAAACGAATCCAAACCAATTGAGGGAAGCTGAGTAAGCAGGGCTTTCCCTTTGAAGCCAACAAGCTGAGACGGAAGGGGCTAATGGGTAGCTCTTAGAACAAATGGCCCTATGAACCTAAGGATGGGCTACCCATAAATGTCCCTTCAAATCAACTTCAGAGCTCAACGGCGGATATTCTTCATGGCCAAGCTGGGTTGTGTCCAATAAAGGGCGGTTGGGCAGTGTTCAAACAAGGGTGTGTGTTGCTTTGCTCCAAGGTTCAGAAGAAGAAGACACAAAACTGGCCAAAGGCACAATCTGGTTTCAACGCACAAGGATGTTGTCCAACAAAAAAGTTTCAAGCAAAAGACCATCGATGAATCAATGAACCATCGGAACGCCAGGTGTCGAGGCCGTTTTTTTTGCTTCAGCACCCACCCACCCCGCTGCCTCCAGCCACCAGGCGCCGGCCTGGCCTTCGGCCGCCGCCTGCTTGGCGCAGACCTCCAGGAAGCTCAGGCGCGTGGCCTTGGACGCCCCAAATTTGGACCTCTTGGGACCTCACCCCCCACCCCCTGACCCCCCCCCACCCCGCTCAGGGACCGCCAGCCCAGAGAATGTTTAGGAGAATCTATGAATGCTGAAGATAGAACCTAATTTGAAGGCACCCCTGTCCCCACCCCCTTAGCCAATTGGGCACCAACTTTTGAAAACCCCCCCTGCTTTTTATTGAGGGGGTCCTTTTTGAGTGGGGAATCCGGAATCCTTTCTGGCAGTGGCTGAAAAGTCGGCTTTTTCGTTGGTCTGTCAATTGCCTGCGGGTCAAACACAGGGCAACCCCAAAATGTGTGGCCCGGGTAAGCCGAAACATACACTAAAACCTGCGGTCTTCTGGTGGAATTCAATTTTGACCCATACCCAAATCACCTACCAAAAGCAGTCGACTCCCGCTGCATGCTCAATGCGAACCCCCTGGCCATAGGTGACCTTCAAAAAACGATGAGATTTTCTGGTAGACGGGGTATAACACCAATTTCAATCAGAGTGGAACCTTTCAAATGATGTCCAACCAAACCAGCCTGACAAGGACACCCATGCCCCTGCCGCACGAAAAACGGGAACCTGCCAAACGACAAAAGCTCCACCCCGGCCTTGGAGGACGTCCGCAGGAAGCCCCAGACCCGCGCGGCCGCCGACAGCGAGGCCTCGTCCTTTGCGGCGCCAACGGTCACAGCCAGCAGGACCTCCCAGAACACCTGACGCAAACGTGCGGCTTGAGTGGTTTTTTCTAGGGGCACCTTCCATTTCCATTCTTTCCAGGGATCCTTCTTTTCAGGAAACCATCAAAAACCCAGGGGAAACAGCCGGTGTTCGAAAAGAACGAGGGAACTGGCCTCTAGATTTTTCCCCGGGACATATATTCGAAGCTGCGAGCTTGAATTCCCCATGGGTCCCAGTAAAACACAACCAAAAGGCCACTCGTCTCAAATTGGCCAAGAAAATAATGCTTAATCGGGATAAAAGGGGAGTTTGATTCCAAGGTTTTTATTCCAAGGTTGGACCAACTGTTCGTTTAGATTCTTTAAACACTTCCCTTGGTCGAAGCCTCCAGCAGCTCTGATGCCTCAGTCTCCAGGCTCGCGCCTTCCAGCAGCCTTGGCACGGCCCATCGGTCACTCGACTCCCCGCAAAGTGAGGCGAGCGGGCGGGCGACTTGGGGCTGGCGGAAAACAGAGGGAACCGCAGAAGACCCGCACCCTCCGGCGGCCTTTTTTGGGCTTGGGATTGCGGGCTTGGGATTGCGAAGCCGCGGGTTGCTCGAGCCAAGTCTAGCCGGCCCCGTGACTGCTTGAGCACTGGAACAGGGACTTCCTTGCTGGTTCTGCAGAAGTGTCCTAAATCAAACCCAGCTTTCCGCAAGCACTGGCAGAAAGGCAAACATGGCGAGTCATGCTGTGGATGGACAAAATCCTGCACCACCTAAGAAACCCTGGAATGATTCGACTCCCCTGCAAATACCAAACGTTCTGGTTTCAAACGTTATGGTTACATGGCTGTGGGTCAAAAATAGGTCCCCAAATTGGAACCCTTGTGACTGGAAACCAAGGACTAACACCTGTGGTTTTCCGGTGTTCAATTTTGCCCCATAGCCACATGGGGTGCCACATGCCACGTGTCCCAAGTCCTTTCCGTGGCGCTTGGCGCTGTGCTGGGCCATGTGCCGCAGCTGCGCGGCTTGCACCGCGCCTCTCAGCGGGCCCTTGGCGCGGCTCAGCAGCAGCAGAGGCGACAGCTCCGTGGAGGAGCTGCCCTCCAGCAGCAAACGCAGCCAGTTGTTGGCCTCGGGGGTCACGAGTCGCGTCCCACCCCCCACCTCCCCCGACCCCCACCTCCCCCCCACCTCCTCCCCCCACCTCCCCCCACCTCCCCCCACCTCCCCCCCACTGTCTCAAGGGGAAGCAATTTGATTGCCCAGCCTACCCAAAAAAGGGAGGGCTGAAGGGAACGGAGTGCCAACCTGGCCGAAGACCCGTGCTAAAGAAACCTCGCCATCCGCAGAACCCCACATGTGCATCTCAGAAAGTTCCTATGAGTCACAATACAAATATGGTACTAAAATGGTCTGCGCAAATCCATGTAAGGAAATGAAAGTGCAGCCGCGCCTATTCCTGGCTTGCTGATACCATCCTCATACCCCACATAAGCATCTCAAAAAGCATTCACATATACATGGAGGCTGATCAAAAGGTACTTTCCGAGAAAACCCCGAAGAACATGATATTTCCCACATGGATAAAAATTGCCCATGGTCAAAACGGGCCTTTCACCTGACTATTGATCAACCCCCACATCTGTTCTAGTTGTGTTTGTCTCAAAATGGTGGAGACCCCAAAATGGTTGGCTTCCTTTTGGCTTCCTTTTGAAATCACCTAAACAGGATATGGCCCTGGGTCAAAATCCCGTACCCCCAGTGAACATCCCAATCCCCACTACACTAGACTAAAATGGGTGGCACCTACCCCAAAATGGGATGCCATTGGTTTTGACAACCACGGCCATATCCTCCCAAAAAAAGAAAGAAGAAAAGAAAAGAAAAATGAAAACGCGCAGCAGCTGCCTTTTCTTGGGGCCACCGGCAGTTCCGCCTTGGCGCCCGTGCCTTGGCGTCCGTCTCCGCCAGCAGCTCCGCCGCCGCGGCGGGGCCCAGGCGCCGCAGCAGCTGCGACAGCGCGGCCCAGGCCTCGTCCGCCACGTCCTCGGCGTGGCTCAGCGCCGCCAGCAGCGAGCGGCACAGCGGCTGCAGCAGCGAGCGGTCCGCGCGCAGCGCCTGACGTGGCAGCGGGTCAAAACCCAGGAAACCCCTGGTGAACGTGACAATGGGTGGCAAATGGATGTTCCTCCACCCAAAATGGAGCCATTGGTTATGCCCCATGGCCACATCGGAAACTTGGGGAACCCCATGGGGGAACCATAGGAAGCCTAGAGGAACCCAATAAAAAACCCTATAGGAAGACACAGGAAGCGATAGGAAGCCATAGGCAGCCATCCGTCTTTTGTGGGAGGAAAATGAGTGAAGTCGTGCCTGCTATTTGGGCCCATGAACCAAAAGTCAAAATCAAGGAGACATGTAGTGGTTGGGAAGGGTCAAGTCTGGTTGGAAGAATCATCCAGGTGCCATAGCTTACATTCACAAACCTCACAAACCTGAAATTAGGAATCGCTGTTGCTGAAGGTTCCCAAATATCTTTGCCTTGGCGTAGCAACACGCATCTGGCTGACAAACCGGTAAATACAGAGGGCTACGCCTTCACAAATGGGACACCGGCTCAAATTGTAGGCAAAAAGCACAAGTCCAAAAGAGGCTTGCAAGCCTGTTGGGACCGTTCGTCCCAAAGAGGACCCACGGGCGGTCGGAGCTGCCAAGAGCAGCCCCTCGCAAGGGCATTTCAATTCCTAAAGTTGATTTCTGATTAACCTCCCCCCCCTACGAGATCTGCCTGGAAAAAGGAGTTCCGGAATTCCTCCCTTCATAACAATTTAAGTGAGGGGTCGGGGGTTCGCCCATTTTTCTGCCGGCCTTGGTCGCCAGCAGCATGAGCCGCAAGTCGCCCTCTGCCGCATGGACCAACTCCTTGGCGCAGCTCAGCTGACAGTCGATGACGTCAAAGGCCAGAGACAGCGCCGCTAGCGCCTCCTCCAGGTTGGACCTCGCGGCGATCCGGTTCCTTTTGGGTGAGGCAAAGCAAACCATCCGCTGTAAGTCTCTGTGACTTCTGGCCACCCTTAATCATTTAAGTGCCCGTTTCGCCCCTTTGGCTGTCCTCTTCAGGGAAAATGAGTCTATGGACCTTCCTAGATGGAAGTGCTACAAGTGCACAACTTTCCGGGGAACCTCAAGACAATTGCACACTTCCTGGTTTTCATGCCGGAACCACAAGGATTTGGGGCCATTTGGGGGAATGAACCTAGGGACGCCCTTGAGGGTAACATGTGCCCCTTTAAACATCGCCAAGAGTAAACTCAGGCTAGCATGGCCCACAGGCGATGTTTACATCACGCGAGAAATCCTGCAGATTCGCGTGGAACCCGAAAACCCATCCTCCTTTTGGGTTCCTTCTGCTAGTCTGCAGGGAAATAACCCCTGCTTGGTGATTCCAACTCATCCAACTCTTTCCGAGCCCTCCGGCACAGAGCTTGGGTCGGTGATGATGCGGCCCACTAGCAGAGACACCGCCTGGGCGATGAGATGCGCTAAGGGCTCGGATGTGGTTGGCTCAAACCGCAAGCACTGTCTAAAAGAAACGAAACATGTACATGCAGATGTGAGCAGCTAACTAATTCTCTTGTCTTCCACAATCCAAGATTGGTCTGATCTCGTTTTGGGCTCGTTTAGACTCGATCTACAACAAATAAATGATAGTGTTATGCATTCTCTACACATTGAAGCTCCCAAATCGCACCTTTTCAGTACAATCGTAGGGCGCAACATGAATGCTGGCAGCTCCAGCTCGGAAGTCGCAACTTTACAGTGCAAATGAGTACGCGAGCGTTTTGGCAGTTCCAGCTCACAAATCACATCACACCTCGGTGCAAGCGCAGACGAAGTGCGCAGCATGGCGATGGCCCACTTTGCAAGGCCACTCGCCACTCGCTGGCTCGGCTTGGACTCGTTTCGGACACGCCCCAAAGCCGGCTGCACTCACGGTGACTGCATCCGGATCGCGCTTTATCTCGTTTCGCATGGCTTTCAACACCATCTCGTTCTGATCTCGTGGATTTTAGTTCGGGGGGACCATCTCGAAATCTGAGCCTTTTAGGATTTCAGGACGCATTCTGACCGTATCAATACTGAATCTGCCGGAGGATTGCTTGGTCGCTGTACGTATTGGGGCACTCGCCAAGATTCCTTTGGGCACCCGGCCTCCTGCAGCCGCACAGAGGATCCGGGGGAGTAGCTCTCAGGAATACACTCCAAGGTCAAACCTCGCTGGGCGAGGCGCAGAGGGCCAACTCGGCCCATGGTAAGACCTCCTCAAGTGTATCCTCTCAAGGGTTCAACTCAGTTGTTCAGTGACCCTGGACCAAAAAGGGACCCCCTTTTTGGGGCTTGGACCGTTTTTTTTTTTTTTTTCCGTGGGGCAGCCACCCAAGAGAAAGGGGACAAAGAATGGGTGCCACTGAAGAACTGAGTCCAAGGGAGTTCTCCGATCCCAGACCAAAGGACCCAAGGGAAGCCACAAGTCGCCTGTTGAGACCTCCGAAGCCTCGCCAAGCTCCGGCGTTTTTTTTTTCTTTCCCCCGCGCAGAGTTTCTTCCATGGGCCCCCGTGGCTTCCCGGAGCCTTGTTGGCGGCCTCCGAAAAAGCCGCGGGACTGAGGTGGGCCGTGCCATGACAAAAGAATTCTGGTGGGGCGTGGAGTCCTCCTCTTGGAACCCTCCGGGTTAAGAAAGTGGCCCAACAAAATGCTCCCCCGCCAACAAAGCGGGGCTCATGACCCTCTGCATTCTGTATAGGCCTTACCCCGCCGAAGCTTCGGGCACGGCGAGGCTTGCCTGAGGCCGTCACGCAGTTGCAAGGCCTGGCGAGGAGTCTAGTGCAAGTGAGGCGATCCTGGCATTTTTTGGGGTTGGTGCCCTTTTCAGGTTGGTCTAGAAACCAAACCAAAAGGAAAACCGAAGCCGTTTTGGGACTCCAAATCCCAATTTTGATGCATGCAGATTTGTAGCTGTCTTGACTCGTTTTGCCCTCTTGTACTCTTAAACATTGGCTCACGCTCTTGTGACACATGGGGCTACAACGCCGAAGGGAGACCTTTTCTGTTGAGTGGCACGCTGCAAAAGAATTCCCTTGGCACTTGAGTGGCCGCCAGATTGAACGAGATTCTGCGGCATGGGACTCTCGAAGGCAACCATTGTGTTCCAAGTTGGGCTAGAGCCCCAAACTGGGTGGATTCCTTGATTCCCCATCGGCGAAAACGTAGCCTTGAGGTGCCCCTGATCTGCGAAAGTACGGACCAAATTACGCCAAATCAAATCAATGGCTCCAGAATGGTATATACAAGCCCTGTTAAACTCACGATGGATGTTTGAACATTGAGCCCCATGACCTTGACCAACCGGTTTGTGCGTTTGTGCTGGCTCCCTTGCCTGCAAGCCGGGCTGAGCCAGCATCACCTGCACGCGCACTGGTTGATACACCCATCTCTCTAGTTCCAGCATTGTTCCTGCTTTGGTTGGCTTGCCCCCTTTGGGTTTCCAGAGGGACTGCCGGAGGGGAAACTGTAAACTCATGTTCGGTTTACAAGAACTACAGTTGAATGGGGAGTCAATTCCTAGAAGGCCCGGGGACTCAAGCAGTACCCTCCTAACATGGGACCCGCCAGGTCCCTTGCACCAGGTCTCTTGTAGATCATGATCTTCCGCAGTCAGGTTCCACTGTTCCAAGTTGGCTGGGAAGCGAGTTGCTTCAGAGACAAGAAATATTGACCAGGGTCTTTTCACGGAAACTCCGAAGGAAAACGTGTTGTGCTCAAAGGCAACATAGGCTTGTCTCCGAATGGGTTGTCTCCCCAAGCACAACAAGAGATCCCAGCTTACCCGTGGCTTTGGAAACAAAAGCACAGCTGCAAAAGAGAGAAACCTATGTCCCGGGTCCAGCTGGATCTAAACTCCTCCTGGGATGGTTGACTCCAGTGACAAAATCAGTCATGGCTCAGCACTCAAGGGATTGCACATTGGAATTGGGCTCAAATCAACACCTGGTATGCAAGGGATCTACCCAAACCCCATGTAAAGAATCAAAAAGGACGGGTCAACCGCCCATTTCTGGTCAAGCGCTCCTCACCACGCTGATCGTAAAGAAGCCCAGCCGATTTTCTTTTGCCCCGGTTGCATTGCCATGGCAAGTGCTGCACTGTACACGTGTGCCATGGTCAAAACTGAGTCATGTGGCTCCCTTGAGTAAGGGAATGCCAAAAAAACGCTTGTCTATTCTGATATTGTGGTTGATGACTGTCACCAACCCCGAGTAGGCTGTTTGACCATGGCACATGGGAGGTCTTTTGCCCCAAGATGAGCTCGCAGTTGCAGGTGACTGCCTCTTTGACTGCCTAAAATTGTCGCTCGCATCAATTGAGATTCGCCTTCAAAATGGGCACTCGGAAACGTTTTACCACCACCGGTTGCATCCGGTCGCAACCCTTTTCCGGGGTTGGGAAAATGGCCTCAGGGCACGCTGCAAGACTGCCACTGCGAGGCCAGTGGGAAATCAGTCGAGCACCTTGGGACCTTGGGAGAGGTTTGCCATGCAATGCCATAGCTTGCTGAAACACTAGGTGAAGAGGGGATTCGGAGAGCTAGCTTTGTTTCAGGTAAGCATAGACAAGGAACTGAGTCCCCGAGTAAATATACAGCATACACTGAACTTTTGGCAGGACTTGTGACTTCCCAATCTGTTCCTGCAGATTTGCTGGGCGGCGTTCGGCCGCTTTGGGCGCTCGAATTATGGCTCTGTGCATTTTCTCTGTGGACGGTGGTTGCCCGAGCCTCAAACCAGCTTGTACCGCGCCCCGCAAGTACACGAGCTCACCGTAAACACGAAGCTGTCCGCCAGGTCCGAATCTTCCACGTTCACGTGGATGGCTTCATCCTCATGGCCCACCACTTCAAACCTGAGGGCGGAAGTCGGGACCAAACAAGCAGAAACATGGCATTGAATCCCGTTGGCCTTGTTTGGGGTGTACTTCCGTCTTCTTCACTCCGGGGGTCTGGTGGCGAACCGCAGAACTGAGCGTCAGGCATGACAATTCCGCGGCCCTTGTCGAAGGTTGCACACACGGCCTTGCCCTCACGAACCTGCAGCATGGATCCGTTAAGATGACATCCCCAGATTCTAGCCCTTGAATGGTTTCAACCAGAAACCACCCCCAAAAGTAATTTTGAGAACAGCACAACCAAGGCCTGATCGCATGACACGCATTGTTTAAATGCTCCCTCAGGCCAAGTCACGTGATTCAAGACCGGCCAAGCTAGCCGCTGCCTAAGACGAAAGCGCGAGTCAGACACCCACTCGACCAGCAAGCCCACCAAGCGACATCGGGGTGATGCCTCTCAGCCAGCGGCCCGTTCTTCCACACGAAGCCGAGGCCATTCGAGAACACCGAGATGGCGTAGCTGCCACCTACATCCATGCAAACTCTCAGGGGTGCCTTTTCAAAGACCCTTGCCGGGATCCCCAGGGCGTCTTCAACCGAGTTTCCAGCGGATGGGGCGTGACGTCTCAGGGGCGAGAACTGAGTAGCCCAAAAATCGACGGAACCAAAAGCACGTGAGCCAATTTGCCTTCCAAGCAGCTGCGCGTGGCAAAGCCGCCTTCTGAGCATGGGATGCTGTTCTCTCCGCTATCCTCCATGGGAGCAAGAAGCAAACAATTCTTCGAATTCCCTGAATGAGTGAGTCCTTCCAATGTCCCTCACAGAATCGTAGACTGGAGCATAGCCGAGTCTTTTTTGGCAGCCTCTCTCCCAATGGTAAAGCTTGCGCATTTCCAATTGCAGGGTCCGGGTGTACGTTTTTCATTGTCACGGATTCCGGCATTTCTGTCAGATAATGTTTGCTTCCGCGTTCTCAAGCAAATACCCTGCAAAACACGAGGGATGGTCAGGTGCCCATTTTCCTCGGTTCGGTTGGCAGCATCTGGCCGGTCCTTTGTGGCAAAGCCAACCGCAGAGCCTGCTCCGTTCTCACCTAGCGAGCAACCGCTGAACGGGATGTGCTCTTGCAAGAAAACGCGAAGCAGGCACAATGGCCATCAAACTGCCCCAAAAAGCATCACCCACCCAACCATTTGATGCAGCCGGGCGTGTTAAGGAATGCGCCAAACAAATGGTGAATGATGGTGACAACTCAAGTTGGCGTCGAGCCGATTTCAGGCGGCCACGAAAACCACGCAAAACATGTCACAGGGTGGATCCTGCAGGCGTTGTGCCTCGTGTTTCTGGTTGTGGAGGTCAAGTCAGACAGGTTCAAAGCTCAAAAATATCCTCTTCCGGCCAAGGGTTCCAGAGTCGCACCCCTAAGGTCGTACTCTTAAACTTGGACCATGTACCCACTTAGCCCTTCTGTAAGCAAGAGCACCTCCATTTTCAAACGACCTGGGGTGCAACTCTGGAACCTTTGACCTTGCAAGATGCACGGCGCTCGTTCTCAGGGCTCCACATTTCAAGAGCCTCAGTGGCAAGGCACACGTCAGTTTCGTTGCTTGTCCGAGACTTCGATGCATGTTTGTGCCTCTGGGTCACGTGTTGGTGGACATGTCCACAAATGTTTTGGTTGAGGTTCCTCATCAAATTCAGAGACAACTTTGGCTGGCTATTTCCAAAACCTGGTCGGTTTGCTCGGATGTTTTTACTTTGAATCAATCAAAAAAGGAAGGTGTTCCTCAATGTTTGGGTTTGATGGGCTGAGATAAAAGTTGGGCTGTTTCTCTTGAAAGGGTATAGGGGCTACAAGAGTGCCCCAACTGTTTCCTTGTGGCTGTGGAATCAACATGTCCATCCACAAAGGAGTTTTGTCCATTTCTTGCCTTCTTGAGAAGACTCCCAGGAACAGTTGCGCAATCTGATCTCATTTTCATGAGGGGCCCGGAAACCAAAAATATACAAAAAAGACTAAACCTGCCATCCCCCGGAAAAATCCCCCGATCTTTTTTAGTTGCGCTCGCCACACCCTGCGAGTCGTCGGTTCGAGTCAAGGCCCGGCGGCTGCACGGTGCATCGATGGCGGTGGCTCTGCGCGGTGCCAGCGCCCTGGAACTCCACCACGCGGCCATCGTCCTCGAGCCGAATGGACCCAGGCGGCTGCGGGCTGGTTGGTTTGATTTTTATTTTATTTATTTTTTTGTGGGTTCTTGGGGTGGTTTAGTAAAGAAGCCGGGCCCCAATCGGCGGCAAGAAAGGAAGCCGTGCGAAAGGAAAAGCCGGCCAATGTCTTGGGGCTCCCTGGTCCAACTTGGGAGGCTGGGAAAGTTTGAGATGAGTTCCGCTACCCCAAACCATACCCTTTATGTGGTGGCTTTATATTGGCTGCAGTTCTCAGGGTGAGTGAAGCTGAAACCCGAATCGGCGATTGCTTTTCAAAAGAGCAGCCAGGGCTACGCGACCCAGTTGTGGATCTTAATCAGTGACCCTCTGGTGGACATCTTGGAGATGTATGCAACCACCAGCCACTTTTGACAGGTAACCACCATTTGGAAGGTTGGGATGTTGTCGTAGCAACGCAGAGCACCTGGCTCACATGTCAAAAGAAGTTCAAATGGCTGCGGCTCAACAAACATGAAAGACTAAAACCTGTGCACCTCCGGGTCTTTAATTTTGCGCCAAAACCAAAGGTGGATTGAAACTATGGCTCGATTTGCTGGGTTGGATGAAAAACAAACCCATGGCATGGTACTTTCCACCCACACTCAACAAAATCATAGTTTGATTTGGTGGATTGGTGGAAAGCAAAGCCATGGCATGGTACCCATAACTTGGACACCCACATTGGCTGGTTGATTTGGTGGGTTGTTTTTCTTGGGTGATTGAAATTATGGTTGGTTGGATGAACCCAAATGCGATAGATCTGGCAGGCTGCAAAACAACCCATGGCGTACTCTTGAGCCACACCCAAAATACTCCAAACATAGGTGTCCTTTTAGGGGAAATAGATGGCCCTGGTATATGATTCAACCACCAGGACTCGCCATCTATTTGTTCTAGCAAAACAACCAAAAAACACACCGCTGACTCCAAAGCCATGGCACCCAATGCTTCATTTGGGGGTTGAAAAGCAAACCCGTGGCATGCAAGCCCATGGATGGCTTCGGTCGGTTTCGCCCAGGTGCCCCCAGGTGCCCTCTGCCCTTCACCTTCGTCCAGTAGGAGCCTCTCGCGAGCCGGGCTCAGCGCACTTGGCAGACCGCTTGGCTCGTCGAATTGGAGGTTGGACCCCCTCCCCAACGTGGGCAACACGGTGTTCCTCTTGGTTTCCCAGAAAAAACCAGTGAAAAAGGGGGATCCTCAAAAAAAGACAGACCCATTTGTTGATTACATGGGTTGCTCCCTCCGCCCCAAACGAGCAAAAGGTCCTTGGCCCGTCGAAGGGGTGCATGGTTCCTAAAACCAGAAGCTCGGCCT